CCCTCACTACCTCAAACCTTGACAGTACAGGTGATTTTCAAAAGGAGCTGGTGCCCTTTACCATAGAGCTGCATGACACACGTGGCCCAGGACTTGGAGAAATGGAAGGAAGAGATCACTAGGAAATGATATTTCAAGCCAACGAGGTGAGCTGGCTATCTGAGACAAGGAGTGTGAGCTGCTGCAGCACCTACTGCTGTGCACTGAACTTCAGAGGATAATGGTTGCTATTTTATTTCTGCCTTCTAATGTCACAAAACTGTCTCTTATGGCCAGCCCTAGCTGAGAATCATACAGGGGAAGAATTTGGGAAACTCTAGCTTGGTCAAGACAACGTAGAATAATGCCTCCACAGTACTTGATGCATCTGAGAATTTTTGAATAAACCAAATTGAGAATAACAGTGGCTCCTCTAGTAGAAATCTACCTGCCTGCCTGTCTATCTGCCCATCTGCCTCTCAACTGTTCACCTACCTATCCTATTGTATGTCTATTTATCTTTCTATCTATGCCAAGGGGTGAGTGAAATTTATTCCTTTGTCTCATGTACTTTTATTCCTTAAATTATTATGTATCTCTATTAATCACTCTCATCTCTATCCAACTCTCTTTACCAATCAGGACAGAACCAGAAAATATTCTTGGAAAGGAGGAGTCCTTGAGGAAAGGTGTTCATCCAACTCATCACTGGTAGTAATGTAATTAATTTGACACTTTGGCTAGTGCTGATTTGTTCCATTTGGACCTAGTGAGTTAGTTTCCCTAGTTGCTGAAGCAAAAGAAGTGATCAACCATATTATTTCCTGAAAAGGATATTAGCTTCTTCTTTTTTTTTCTTAAGACACTGAAGTAAAGGTACAATACTGGTTTGTGTTGAACAGGCAATATTTCCAGAAATCTAGACCCCTGAGATCTTCGACTTTTATTCCCAGATCTTCAAAGGCATTTCTCAAGGCCAATACCTATATTTCTAGAATACAGCCAGAGAGCAATGTCAGAACAAGCCAGTCCCTCTTACTATGCCTCTCTAGCAGGCTACAGACCACTATGCCATGGGTATAACTTCAGGAGACTTGCAAATGAAGGTAGAAAAGAAAAAACACCATTCCTCTAAAAACCTCCATTCTGACTGACCAAACAATTAGGAATGGCAGGACATTGTGTAATTTATAAAGGATGGTCCCTTTAAACTATACAGAGAAAGACAGAAACATCCTGAATGAGAAAGCAGACTGTTGCATAAGTAAAACCTTCCTTTGGCTTTAAGGTAGGAGTGAGAGTGGATCCTAAGCACTCCTGGGACACAAGTGAGACAAAGTGATTGGCTGAGAGAGAGCAAAGTGATCACACTGACCACTTTGCACAGAGTCCTGCAGTTAGGATGAGGGATGAACACCAGGAAAATGTGAAATAGCCAGTCCCTGCCAGGGGGATGTGGGGATATGACTGGGATCTCAGTGGATCAGCAGTGCCAGAGAGTATAGCAGATGGGTCAGTGCCCAGAGGTCACAATGTGAGGGAGCACCATACATTCCAGCACAAGACGGATGTGGAGAGCATAGTGAGGATCAAGGAAGCAGAAGACGTTCTTCCCCTAGTGCGATTGCCATGGTGGCAATTTTGTAAGAAGTCAGTACATCTCCTACTGTAGTTTTTTAATTTTTATTTTTATTCAAAATACTTTAACATGTACTTTACATGTTTGTGGGGTACAGTATGTTGTTTCAATACATGCATGTAATGCACAATGATTCACTTAGGGTAGGTAGCATAGTTTTGTACCCATTAGTCTACCACTTCTAATTCTAACACCAGGAAGAGGTTGATAGGAAAACTACTGGGGGTTTTTAAACCTATCAGACAATTATAAATTGGAGTTGACTAAGATTAAAGTTGATTAGATTTGATTGGAAGTGGCTATCTTCTGTAAGTTAATTTGATTTTATTTTTACTATAAGCCCCATTCCAGCAGGGGAAGAAAACCGAAGTAAATTACATTTTTGCACAATTGGGTCTGACTACATATTTGTACTTGTGACAAAAAGAAATGGCTAGAGGTGTTTAGCCTTTTACTGTCACAAGACTAATTAGATGAGTGTAACTCATTAAAAAGCCTCAGATGTATGTGAGTGTGTGCTGGGAATCCAAGGGGAGCAGAGGAAAGCTGGCTCTGTTGATGCAACTTTCTGCAGAGCAGCAACAGAGGGAGCCTTCCACAGAAGAGGCCAGTACACTCATCAGTGAGTCCTGATGAGGACATTCAATACGGCTTTTCCAGGAAATTGTTCACAACTTTCTGCAGAGCAGCAACAGAGGGAGCCTTCTACAGAAGAGGTCAGTACACTCATCAGTGAGTCCTGATGAGGACATTCAATACGGCTTTTCCAGGAAATTGTTCCAGTTACTCTTCTTTCTTGTCTTGTTTCCCTCTCTGCTCCCAGGGCCTTTTTGTGCACAATAAATACTATTATTAAAAGGTAAGTTGTTTTTTCTTTATGAGCCAGACACTATATAGGCATCTTACCTATCTCATTGTGTCCTTACAACAAACCCATAAGGGACTACTGTCATTGCTTTCGTTTTCAACAAGAGGAAACTGAGGCTTAGACTATACAACATGTCTGAAGTCTGAGATGCTGTTTCAGATCCATCTCTGCCCTTTATTATGAATCCAGAGTCCAAGTACTTAAACACCTATGCTACATGGCCCTTTACAAATAATCACAAGAATGCCTTTTCCCTCAACTGTCTCCCAATGTTCACTTTTTCCATGAAGACTTGGAGGCTCAAAAGGGACTGATAATGGTTTTTACCCCAAGTGTTGGTGATGGCAAAGGAACAGATATATTTGTGTGAAGGAGAAACAAGACATTGGTTTTGAATAAGAGACACTCGATTATTGTGCTTATTTGTAATATCCCCATACCACATTCTCTAGTGCATATTCCCTTCCATCCTGTTCTGAGATAAACCTTTCACATGAAAGAGCCCAGCCATGACCACAGCTAACAATGGGGCTAAATATGTAATGCAACAAAGCTCATATCCTGGGTCTGATTGAACAAAGTGTTGTTATGGGTGGTTATCGCTGGATAGAGCAGGAGCATACATACAGGTGGTAATTTCTCTTCTTTATCCCCAGTCATTCAACAACACAAGAAGAAGCTAGAGGTGATTGGTATTTGGTCTTGGTCTATGGTAGACCCAGGAGACCTCCTAGGGATAAAATACCTTGCTGTGGGTTTCCTGAAGTTATTCTACCAGGAAGTTCTTAGTACTAATCCTGCTGGATTTAATTAATGATGGGTTTTTAGGAGCCCTGAATCTCCATATGCATGCTCTGCTTTATGACATTATACCAAGGAGCTATCTTGTGACAAAAGTTCCAGGTCATTTCCCTCAGCACTGGCTCTACTGATGAATTTGAACACCATCTTCCTTCATCTTCTCTAATGCCCAGGCCAGGAGATCACTCTAAGAGAAATCTCTAGCTCTGAGGTTTCTGTAGTATCTTTTTCTCAACTCCAAGTAAAGTTTAGTAGATTACATTTGGCACTAAAATTATATTCATAGAAGCTCTTCCCATCTTCTCCAAATAATTGGGCTCAGTTTTGGCACTGGACTGTAGGGACCTCGATAAGATGGGGAAATGACCACTCCTCACCCCCAAATGGAGAAAGGTTAATAAAATGTGACCCCCCAAAACCCTGAAGTTATGAATAGATTTTGAGAAAATAGAAATTTGGGACTAGTCAGGGGTTTAAGCCAAATTTTAGAAAAAAGTTTGTGCTATTCCAAGTTTCTTATTTTTGTAGGTTTATATTCTAGCTCTTACTTAATCACTGGCCTTAGATTTTTCAGAATAGTAAAGTGACTTGTTTTTAACCTAAGATTAGTTACTTTAGCCTTTTTAGATATTGTTATGGTTTGTAAGCCAAGGACTAAATGGTTTAAAATCTGAAACATTTTAGAACTAAAATGGATATAACTATGATTCTGGATCACTATAATTGATTGCTTCATTTCACCTTTCATGCATTACCACATTTCTATAGGTTTCTGGAGTAGTCATCTCATTATAGAAACTTTATGATCAATAAAAAGGGTCAAATTGCAACAAAATAAGCAGCAACAAAAGCTCCCCAGAGATCTGAAATCATGTCATGGTTTGTAACCATCCCTGGGCTTCCATATATTCTCATCACCTTTGACCTACCTATTACCCCAACCCCCTTCACAATCCCACTGTTGCCTTCTTCCCTCCATGTCATTTCATTATTTCAGTGAGACTGCTGTCCTCCACATACATATGCCATCTCAGGGCCTCTGAACCAGAGTCTGATGTCCTGCCTTCCTCCCCCTGTCACCCCTATTATTAGGAGGAAATGTGGGATTTGCAAGCTCATTTGTCTATTCAAATGGGGTAATGACCTGGTTTGAGAATTTTAACTTCTGTGGGAGGTAAGGTCTCATTCCAAGTCTTGTTAGATTAAGATTTCTCATACATGCATTTTCTCCAGCCTCAACAAAAGCCTTTTCTTGGGCTAGCCAAAAGTGCTGGAAAATTTTGTGAACACAGTTGAAGTCTTCCAGATTTTTACTAACAGAATTTATAAACTGTCTTTGAAGAGGTGTTAGAGTATAATTCTACCTTCAAAGGGAAACTAGAAATTCTATACCAAAAAAAGCAAAGGCTAGAAATGATCTTACTTCCTGTGGCCTGTATACTTATTCTTGCAGTGCTTATTTTATAAAGTTAAATCAGTAAGAAAAGGGAATTGTACCACAAAAACTCATGTACTGATTTCCCCGCTCCGCTTTCAGATATTGGATGTACACTGCATGGAAAAATCCATGGTCAAACAAGAATAGACTCCAGGAATGCTTTTAGACCCTTAACCTCACAGTTCAGGTAGGACCCCAAAATTTCATGGGCTTCCCCAGTCAGAACCTTTTCCTGTCATCACCAAATATTTGCATGCCCCATAGGTGTAGAACAGTCACCTGGGTTGAGCCCCCGCCTTAAGAATGTGGAGAAGTCTCTCTCGGATCTGCTTAGTGCGAACAGCATAGACAACGGGGTTGAGGATAGGAGGGATGAGGAGGTAAAAGTTGGCCAAAAGGATATGGATATGGGGAGCCACGTGATGGCCAAAGCGGTGGGTGAGAGAAGAAACAGCAATGGGGATATAGAAGATGAGGATGGCACAGATATGAGAACCACATGTCCCTAAGCTTTTACGCCTGGCCTCAGGGGTGACCAATCCCATTACAGCCCTGAAAATCATCACATAGGAAGCAGTAATGGCTAATGAATCAGGGATTAATACCAGGAAGCCTATTCCCATACCATAAAAGTTGTTGACCCTTGTGTCACCACATGCCAAGGCGACCACGGCCATGTGCTCACAGTAGGAGTGGGCAATGATTTGTGTTCGGTAAAGGGGCAGCCTCAGGTAAATCATTAGGGGCAGAGGTCCAATGTAGAGAACCCCCCTGAGGAGGGCAGCTAGCCCCAAACGACCCACGACAGCCTGGGTGAGCATCAAGGTATGGCGTAGTGGGTCACAGATGGCCACATAGCGATCGAAAGCCATGGCAAGGAAGATGCCTGACTCGACAGTGGCGAAGCAGTGGATGAAGAACATCTGGGTCAAGCAGGCATCCACACCAATGTTACAGGCACCAAACCAGAAGATGGCCAATAGTTTGGGCATGGTAGAGGTTGATAGGACCAAGTCGATGACAGCCAACATGCACAGGAAGAAGTACATGGGCTGGTGTAGGCTGCGTTCCATCCTTACCACAGCCAGGACGGTGACATTCCCCACCACAGCCACCAGGTACATGGAGCCAAAGGGGATGGAGAGCCAGATGTGCAGGGATTCCAGTCCTGGGATGCCCACGAGCCAGAACGAGCTAGGCACAGAGCAGGCATTATTATAGGTGACCATGCTTGGGGCTGTGGGGTGTCCGGGGGACAGGAGCTCTTAGTTTTAGATTTTTACTCCTCTGATACTGCCTCTGGAAACTGTAGACTAGATTCTCATTTCAATCCTGGGCAACTGGCAGAACCTATGATAAAGAAGAATTCTGAATGCCAACTTGAAAATCAATACATTACATATTTTACAAAAGAAGTTACCCATGATGACAACCACTGTCAAATGTGGAAACAGGCATGCTCATGATTCCTCCTGCTAAATTGCCCCACGACACTGTGGAAATCTCCAAAATTATACATCATCTTTGACTTAGTAATTTTATTTTGGGAAACTTTTCCTAAAGAAAATAAAAAATATAGAAAAGTTTTATGTGTAATGGTTAAATAATGTAATGTGTAAATAATGTAAATAATGTAAATAATGTGTTTAGCCCAGTGCCCGCATATGTCTCTGACCACTGATCAATAACAACATTAATAATACCAATAACACACACTGATTAGATGTTTGAAATTACTGATCTTTATATTAATGAAAAGTTGGAGCAATATGTGTTCAAATATAAAGCATTTTTAAAAATTCTAGTACATACACTCAGTGAATTAGAATTACATTGATAACATTTTTAGAAAAGTATTTCCTCATATGATGTTTACATCATATTACAGTAAGTGAGAAAATAGCAGGAGGCATATTAAACTATGATTTAATTTCAATGAAGGGTGTGTATGTGTGTGATATAGAAACACACCCTTAAATAGAAAAGAGTCTGGAGGATTTACACCAAGGTTTAATGAGTATTTGATTTGGGGTGGATGGGATTACAGGTGCTTTAGATTTTCTTTCCTTTGTATATGTGTATATTCTGTGCTTTAAAAATAATCTTATAAGTTATCAAAACCTGATAATATGTAAGGGGGCAATTTACTAAGGAAAATATTAGTGAAGTACAATCTTCCTTTCTCCAATAGGTTTAATATTGGTTTGTTCAGATTATCAAATCTAATTGACATATTTGGCACAGGACCTAATTTCACAGAGAAATATATCTCTCATTTAAGTTTGCCCAGATTTCATGGTTAAGCAGGATGAAGAACAGATAAAGTTCCTTAAGAAAGTTTTACTGTAAGGACAGACATTTTCCTGGTGAGAATCTGGGCATCACCTATAATTTGAAATAGGTAATAGAAGAGGTGCATTTTTATAAGCGAATTTAACTAGACATTTTGTCCACCATCTGATAACAGAGACTAAAAACAATGGAGTGATATAGGACAGTAATCAAGACCATTCTTACCAACCACATTCTTCTCCATCTATTTTTTGAGGAGATGGAGCTCAGCACTAAAGCACTGGCCATTGCTTATGAAAGCCTTATCCACTTCTTGACCTTCTGATGCCCCTCCTAAGAATCTAGCAATGAATCCTATTGCTTCACATCCTCAGAGTTCAGAATCTGAGTGTGCAGATTCTACTGTGTCCTTCCCTGTCTCAGGCCTGCCCTCCTGATCTTTCTTATCAGATTCCCAGCAGAGTCAGCAAGTCTCATGACACCCCACACTTACATAGTGACTTTCTTCACACAGCCATATTTTTGCTGAGAAGTTACATTCCCTTTATCTATGGAAATTTCCCCCGTCCTTCAAGGCCCATCCTAGATAACCTCTCTCCTGCAAAGCCTTCTGTGCTATCTCTAGTCTATACCAGAGTGGAAGGCAAGCAGGGGAAGAGACTATAGTCACCAAATTCCCTCAAATTGTCTCAAATAAGCCTTTGCAGATTTCAATTTTTGTTGAAAATATAAATAGCAATTACATTTCCATGGCAAATAAGCACAAGAAGTGTCCCTGGGTAGCTTTGTGGCTCCCTAATTCAGGTCCTGACCACAGTTTAAGTTTTTATGAGTTTGCTTACTTCTTGGCCAGGCATTTACTGAGTGTTAAGAAATATGAAAGTTGTGTGAACTTTAAAATGGTTCACAAGAGGTTTTTTTTTTTTTTAACACTAACTGATTCTTTAGTAATTATGTGAATGGGGTACTTCAACATGTAAATAAGTGATAACATGCAAAATCACTTACTCGGGGTTCAAACGTAAGGTTACTCTGAATCTGTTATATAAGGTAGCAGAGGGAAGGAAGTCCGGAGAGGCAGCACCACATATCTGCTCAGGACAACAGCTTTGCCATCTAACAAACCAGATTTTCCATTCTGGACCTTCATCTCACTCTGTGATTAGGCAATTTGCTTAAACTCTAGAAGCCTCCCTTTTGTCATGTGCAAAATGGGGAGAATAGTGCAAAGGATAAGTGTACAGAACAAATGAGATAAGTGTGAAGCTCTTTGCACATGATAGCAGCTGCCTTTCTCTGAATTCTTACTGCTCAGTATAGATAGTAGAACAGAAATTTACATCCTACAAATTAGAATAATTTCCTTGTGTTTGTCTGTTACATGGGACATCTTAGAGGATTCCTGAAAAGCACAAAAATCATATAGATGGGACAGGGATTTAAGGTAAATACTAAGGAATACACAATTTTATACATAACAGGGAAAATGTCTGAAGTTCTCTAAAAACAGCATGATAAGTCCCGTTCTGCTTTAGGATTATGGTCTAATCACCCAATGTCAGGGTAGATTAAGGGAGTGGCTACTCACCACAAAAGAATCAGTTCCAGACGACGGCCTTCAACCTAGGTTTCTAACTGATTTGTGCTAGATGCAGTTCAGCCAATAAACTTATACCTGAATTTTAGGCTAGAGCAAAGGGGTAGATTAAGGGAGTGGCTACTCACCACAAAAGAATCAGTTCCAGACCAGGGCCTAGGTTTCTAATTGATTTGTGCTAGATGCAGTTCAGCCAATAAACTTATACCTGAATTTTAGGCTAGAGCAAAGAGAATGATGGACATATATAGAAATAATATCCATCAGGTTGACAACTGGCACCTTAAGTGGTGGTCTGAGCTAGGTTGTGGCTCCTAAAATGTGTCCTGTAACATTCCAGAGAAATATTTGGTCAGCCCACTTGAGAGTATCCTAACCTGGTCACAGGTGACATGCCTGCAAGCCCTAGGAGAGGCATTCTGAAAATGGATCCAAAGCTTCTGAAAGAGACATTTTGTTATGGCGACATAAGCATGAATTAGAAGCAAGACAGGCTTAGGTTTAAATACTAATTCCACCACTCCTGGGTGGGTGACTTCAGGCAATGTACTCTGTGATTAGGCAATTTGCTTAAACTCTAGAAGCCTCCCTTTTGTCATGTGCAAAATGGGGAGAATAGTGCAAAGGATAAGTGTACAGAACAAATGAGATAAGTGTGAAGCTCTTTGCACATGATAGCAGCTGCCTTTCTCTGAATTCTTACTGCTCAGTATAGATAGTAGAACAGAAATTTACATCCTACAAATTAGAATAATTTCCTTGTGTTTGTCTGTTACATGGGACATCTTAGAGGATTCCTGAAAAGCACAAAAATCATATAGATGGGACAGGGATTTAAGGTAAATACTAAGGAATACACAATTTTATACATAACAGGGAAAATGTCTGAAGTTCTCTAAAAACAGCATGATAAGTCCCGTTCTGCTTTAGGATTATGGTCTAATCACCCAATGTCAGGGTAGATTAAGGGAGTGGCTACTCACCACAAAAGAATCAGTTCCAGACCAGGGCCTAGGTTTCTAATTGATTTGTGCTAGATGCAGTTCAGCCAATAAACTTATACCTGAATTTTAGGCTAGAGCAAAGAGAATGATGGACATATATAGAAATAATATCCATCAGGTTGACAACTGGCACCTTAAGTGGTGGTCTGAGCTAGGTTGTGGCTCCTAAAATGTGTCCTGTAACATTCCAGAGAAATATTTGGTCAGCCCACTTGAGAGTATCCTAACCTGGTCACAGGTGACATGCCTGCAAGCCCTAGGAGAGGCATTCTGAAAATGGATCCAAAGCTTCTGAAAGAGACATTTTGTTATGGTGACATAAGCATGAATTAGAAGCAAGACAGGCTTAGGTTTAAATACTAATTCCACCACTCCTGGGTGGGTGACTTCAGGCAATGTAATCTCTCTGCCTTTGTTTTTGATTTTGTTTCCTCATCTGTGAAACTGTGGGGCATACAAAGGGGAAGCAATAGCTACCTCAAAGTTTCTTCATGCTTTAAATGAAATGTTTGTAAATACGGGGGTGTACTCACACAGAAGGCAAAATGCCAGCATGTCTGGCCTCTGGGTAGGCACTGTATTCTACCTGCTCCTCTCCTCTGTTCTTTGTCATCTTCCACAGTGCACAGACACAGTGCTATTTCTATAAGGCCTTGGTGACTCCATATCCTTCTTTCCCAACGTTATGACCAGGCTCTGTAACATGGATGTAATCAATTGAAGAGATCTGCTGATGGTGTAAGGATCAGGACAGGAGAGAAGGTTACCTGAAGACAGGAGGCCCAATCAGGCTGGAATAGTCCAATATTTTCTTTCCTGTTGTAGAGGAGAGTTCTAGGCAACTGAGCCTTCTACTTGGGGTTTCTCTTATTCTTTGACTCATAATCCAGATCAATTTATCTTCTCTACTTTTGACAAGACCTGGGAGGAAGAGAAGCCCTGGGTGGACCAAAAGACAAATGTGGTTTCTAGAACTTAGAGACTGTTTCTAATGACTTTGGTCCCCTTTCTGGAACATATCTATTGGGGTGCTGTCCACAGAAATCTAGGCTCTTTTCCTTACAGTGGTTGCTTCTTGTCTGGACACTTGAAAAAATTTATCTGACAGCCAAGGGTAGGCCATGCCCCTGATCTCTCCGCTTTCTTCTACGCCCCCTTCTTTATCTAGGTTCTGAAAATAGCCAGTTACTTCCCAAGGGTTGTGCAGAGAAATCTGCACACTTCCCTCTGGACTTTCGATTACCCTCTTGGGAGAAGTCTTTACTCCCCATTCCACTCCACCTCCAAGGACTCGAACACAGACTTTTTCCTACCCCCCTGCTGGGTTCCTGGCTGG